AGAACTCATTGCCTGAAGACAGAAAGCAATGTCCCAAGCAGGGAATGCCTTCTTTAACTGTGTGCTAAACTGCTAAGTCCTATTTCCCTGCAAGGGAAAAAATAGGGTAAAACTGAGACCAGCTGAAATCTAAAAATTTTGCTGTTCGCTCAGGGTGTTATCTTACTCCTTAGATCTCCAAACAACTCTTCCATGAAGTTCAAAACTTTTGCTGAAACACACAAGGTGTCTACCCTATTTTGTTTTTTTCATTTCCACTAGAAAAAACAAATTCCTGGCTTTAGCAAGCTAACACAAAGTGTGAGCCACAAGCTTAAAGGCAGTTCTGGCTGGCACACATAATAAAGATGTTTGGTCTAACAGCAAGCCTCCTGGTTTGGTCTGTTGTCTCTTTTTGCTATGTAACCCTTCCTTTTGTTGTTGGCAATTGCACTGGGCCCAACTGAATTGTTTTCTCAGTTGTATAATGATAAATACAAAGCAGCGAGCAGGCTTTGATGACGTTACATATTAGTTTAGTGACGTTACATATTAGTTTAGTACAAATAGAGCGAAGGGTTGGATTGTTAATTTAAGTTCCTAAAGTTTGTTGTTTATTTTTAAGGAAATGGCACAGAATGTGATTTGCTGAAGTTTTACAATTGCGTTTATCCAGCAGTCTGTAAGTAATACCTTCATATTCATATTTTTTAAGCCAATTCCAAATAGTAGACAATATCTATAAATTTAAAAAGAATACTGAAAGTAGTACTGAAATGGAGTACATCCCAGTTCATCTGATATTCTGAAAACAGAGACCAGACAAAGCGTTAAATAGATGCCAATTAAAAAAAATAAAACACATAAGAATTCATTTTAGTAATCAGAAATGGTTCAAAATAGAAGAATGCTCAACTAATCTGTTTTCAGTTATCAAGCCTCTGGCTTGTGTTTTTGCATCTTCATGGTATCATCCTTCCAGCTCCAATGTTATATTCTTTTTGTTTGTGACAGAAAAGTGAACAGCACAGTAATAACAGGTTTGCTAACTGATAGAAAATATAATTCAAAATCACTGGTCTTTAAGGTCTTGTCTTTTCAAAAGTGAAGTGTTTTAAATGCTTTCAAAATGCACTAATGCAATCCATTTCCATAAGCAAATAATCTGCATACAGTAGATATGAAATTTTAAGTCACTACAACAGACTTTCTGGAAAATACTGCAAATGGTAATCTCAGAAGTAACTTTTCATGAAGTTTAGAAAGTCTTCTTTTTAATTGTTTTGGATTCTGCTATGTAACGTGAGCCTCCCTTCCCAAAAGAATGGAAGATTAAGAAACCAAGTAGATTAACAAATTTTGGGGGACCTGTGTGGGGAGCTTTTTTTCTGTTTTGATTAGGTGTGTGCAACGTGAACATGAACAATGACGATTTCTTTTTCCTAGGGCTCATTTAACATAGATTCCACTTAATTCACATTCTTATATAATCACAATATTTGACAGCTTGTCATGGTGGAAATACGTATATTATTTTACTTAATGGATATTCTGTGGTCATGTTTCAAAGAAACCACTGAGCAATAAACAAAAATTACTTCTAAGTCCCATCAAGGATGGATAGGTGCCAGAGCTGGATCCCGGAAGGAACTGGCATCACAGTACTGTCTGTGGTAAACTGCATACAATCCCTGGCTTTTAGGCGTCTGGCTTCCAGCACCACATGTTTGGTCCCAAGTCTCTTTTCATAGCGCAGGAGAGAAAAACACCTGATAACAGAATCTGACACAACAGTGCCACTGATCCAGTATCTGCGGGACCTTCCGCTGGTGAGAGCATTTATTTTAGTCACTCTAAAGGCTGGCTAGGCAGAATGAAGTTCACAACCCTAGTGTCCCTGGTGAGTGCCTCAAATCGTCAACTAACAGGCGGAGATGTCTCCTCCCCTGCGGTTTGCAAAAGCGAGCAGCCCAGGGGGAGAAGCAAGAAACAAGGGAACAGACACAACAGCTGCCACCAGGCCAGGGCAGGCAGAGCATCATGAGCAGAGGTTATGGCACTCAGAGTACCAGATGGCTTTGGGTTATGGTTTCTGCTTCAGGAAGTATTTATGCCTTACCATTTTTCTCTTACATTGATTTTCTCTGGCTTTCCTACATTTCTATAATGACTTATTTTTGTTAGAACCTTGTCAGGGGAATGGCTCCTCAGTTTCACAAGCAGCCAGACCTGCAGAATTCTGTGCTTTCTCTTTGGTGTTTGAAGAAGCAAAACTGTCCCTAAGCCCTATTAGCTGTCTTAAACCCAATCATCAAATGATAGGCAGGGGTTAAAGTAAAGTGAACTTAGCTTACCAAGATTTTTACATAGTTACCAGATGATAGTAAACTACAACTGACATACCTGTGGAAACTGTTTCTGTGCATTGAAAGGAGCTAGTCAAACATCAAGGCATCAAGACCGAGAATTATATACCTAAAAAGAAAAAAGAAAAGCTAGCACAGAACATTTAAATTCTTCTGTTGTAAGTATCCAGTTTTTAAAGGATAATTAACCGATATCTTTATCTGTCAGTTAAAAGCAATTTTGTGAGTTTAAAAAAGCACTCTTAAATGTGTGCTTTTAAAGAAACATTATGCAAATTATTTATCCTGAAATTTCAGATAATATAGAGATAAAAGGATTATGTACAGTAGGAACCCACAATTCCACTTGCCCTGCCCCATGTGAAGAAACAGATTATCCCACAACTGTCACGTATTCAAGTTTTGGAGGAAAAAAAGCCATAAAATACTTCTCTGCAAAACTGAAGAAAAGCCCAGAATACATCAGGTAATACTGCTTAACACCTTGTCTAATACAGAAATGATCAATTACTTCCTAAGTGTGCTGACAGAGTGTATGATGTAAATGCGACCTTTTAAAAAGATACTCTCCTGTGTGGTATTAATAATGTCTGTGAGATAAAATCATCTCTTCAACAGAATTGGTTAAGATTTATACATATTCATATAGAAAAAATATACTTAGATACATCTAAATATGCTGTCTCAACAGTATTGACTATACGCTTTATCCAGGAAATGGTGTTAGGATTTATGATATACATAGAGCTGTGTTGCTCAGTAGTAGCGCTGAGCTGCCATCATCTGCATGCCTTTAAATTCATAGAAGAGAGATCATATATGCTCATGCTTTAATAGAGCATATGTGCCTTACTGCTACAATACAATAAATTGATGCCAGATTTCCTTGCAAACACAAGCACTGTATCTTCAAAAATAGAATGATTTCTAGGGGGTTTTTTCTAGAAAGTTACACACTAGTTGTCAGAGCGCATTTAATACAGTTTTATAGACTGAATTGCCTCTTGCTCACAGATGCAGAAGTCAGTAGTAGAAAAAATATTAAGGCAAGTGCCACATGAACTCCTAGTATCCACAACATCAAATTATGTTTATCAAGAACTGTAGAATATTTGGCTAATGAAATATCTATGAGTATTTGATTTTTTCACTGACTTCAGTTTTCTCACTCTTGAAGCCATCAGTCTGAAAATGTTTGCATATGATTATATGTGAAGAGGAACTATATAAATCCTAGAATAGTTTGGGCTATTCTTTATGACCTTTAAAGGTCATCTAGTCCTACCGTCCTGCAATGAGCAGGGACACCAACTAGACTGGGTAGCTCAGAGCCCTGTCCAAGCTGAACTTGAATGTTTCCATGGACGGAGCATCTACCACCTTTCTGAGCAACCTGTTCCCACTCTTTCACCACTGTCATCCTAAAAAATTTCTTCCTTATATCTAGTCTGAATCTACCCTCCTTGGGCTTAAAACCATTACCCCTTGTCCTACTGCAACAGGCCCTATTAAAGAGCCCGTCCTCATGGAAGATTTTGAAAACTAAACTTGTTGTTATATGCAAAAGATATTAATCCTCTGAGGACGTTTTATCTTTGTTGATTATTTTATTGCCTGTAAACATCATGCACAACCCAGTAATTATTCAGTTAAGCAAGTGAAAATAAAGAACATTCCCCTGTTACCAAGCCTTAACCAATAGGAATCCTGCCCACGCATTCACGGGTACGTATTCCAAACTATGAAATGTAACGTTCTATTGATTTCTGAAGATGTAAGAAGAGAAAAGTTAAATATTTATTGGATAGTTATGCTAGCAACTCCATGACAATGGTAGGAAGCCTTACTAATAGAAACCACGAGAATGAAATTATTTTTACTACTCAGTGCTACCTGAATTTCAGAATTATCACCTAAAGAGATAAAAGTGATCATTTTGTATAGCAAATACTTTATTTTCAGTGAATGTTGTTAATGAGCTCATTATCCCTGCCAGCCCAAAAATCTGTAGCTGTTCACACTTCTGAAGGATAATCACTACTTTCATTCTTAAATATCACAACATTATGTGTGCAACCAGTTTTCGTGTCTGTTTTATTCCACAGCTGTTATGTTTATATTCTACTTAGGAGTTACACAGAACCTTTCTGTAGGCACGATATCATAAAGATGAGCTCTTTACTCACACTGAATCATTCCACAGTCTTTCTCCAAGTGAGATTTACCTACTCTCCTGCTTTTGCAGTAGGCAAGAATATAATTAGGTAAGCGAGGCTATTAGCAGAGGACAGAACTAAACACCAGAGCATAGGACAAGGGCTCTTCTGCACAAGCATGCTCGTTGAAATAAGCACAATTAAATATGCAGTGGCACATAAACAAGAGTGGCAGACCACACTTCCAAGCACTGTATCTGCTGTAGGTCAGGATGCTTGACAGTTCCACACAAGCTTATCTCTGTGACCCTTAAAAGGGACCAGTCTGTCTCACAGTTCAGATCTAGAGATACTGTTTCAACATAGCCTGAACATCTACGCCTCTGATAAGCTCCTGTTACAACTGTCAGTCATCTAGCTCAGTTTTGGTTAAGTCTCATCTAATTGTTCTTTAAAAGACACCATCACTCTCCCTGACCTCGGTCCATGCTGATAAGCATTTGTAAAAATGAAGAGCAGTCCTGACTGCCTCAAGTAATGCTGTATGTCATTGTCATTAGGCAGAACCTTGTGCATATTGACATCAAATACCATGATCTGAGTTACAAAATAACACAGCAGCAGAAGGCCTTGACTATATCTGGGTTGCTAGGTAAGTGAATGCTTAATATTTATTGCTGATTAATAATTAATCTAAAAATAAATTTAAAAAAACCACAAACCCACCTCTCTTTTTCATTCCCTCCCCTCCCAAGTCATAGCCTATGTGATCTTCTAAACAAAAAGCAATACCTCTTATACTATAATGGCAATAATAATGTTTCCTCATGGTCATTTTTGATACTGTCTCCTGTTATTCTAGTAAAGGCTGCTGTAGGGACAGCAGCTGAGAGTAAGAACTAAGTTTGGCACTAGTTTATGGCTGTATCACATGCAGGACTGTAAGAATAGTGAAGTTCACAGGGTTTGGAGGGGAAAGGGAGAACACGGGGAGGAGAAGCAAGAGAATGGTTAGAAATATTTCCTACTTCTCTGCCTTTCAAGTAACTGTTTCACAGTAGGATGTGTTGTACTTGCTTTATTTAGAATTTTAAGAGACACATCAGTCTTCTCCAATAAACATTCTTAAGAATATTAATTCTGTTTTCTTGAAGTGATGGATTATGTATATTTAATTTGTTTACCACTTGAACCCAGCAGGGTTTTGTTTGCTTGCGAGACTAAACCAAATGCTTAGGATGACATATGTTTATTTCCTTCTACTACAGCTGATGTAGGTGGCCAGCTTGGATTGTTTTGTGGTGCCAGTATGATTACAATCATAGAACTGCTCGAGTACATTTTTACTAACTTCTGTTGGATGTGCATCTTTCTTCTACTGAAAGCTCCTGAAATGCCTCAGTGGAACAATCCATCCCAGAACCAACCAACACATGAGGAAAAAAAGATGGGAATACAAGAATGCTAGTGGCTTGTAGAAGCACAAAAATAATTGTTTCTCCAACTTCCCTTCCTTTTTAAGATACAAAGGAGACACTAATGTTTTGCATTGTTCCCTTCCCTGTACTCCTTTTTCTTCCCACATCTTTTATTGCCTAGAACTATTTAACTGTGCCAGATAACTTTGAAGAGTGAACTTTGGAAAGTCTCATGTAAAGAAAAATGTAATCTTTACCTAAAATTTTATTTTAAGGAATTACCAATGTTTTTAAAATAGCATAGCCAGAGATACTAACATACAATGCAATTTAGCATTTCTGACCCACTTTTCATCTTCTGTATTTTGAGTGAGAAGCAATACACATGCCAAATTAACACACACACACAGAGTTTCTTAACTGCCATCAAGGCAGAGCATTGTTATGCTGGAAAAGCAAATTCCTTATTAATGATGGAGTCTTTCCTTGTAGGTTACATTGTTACAAGTTCCAGTGAAGGATACAATAGCTTTGCCAGGCAGAGTTAGGAGCGTGCCAACTACTATAAATACAACACAGAGAAACGTAAGGCATCTGAGTGGATGGCAAGTGGGCAAACATAGGCCAAGTTCAACGTTTAATGTCATAAATGATGATAAAGACTAAAGGCTTCATCTAAGTCTTACTACAAAATCAGCAAGAATAAGAATTTTGTGGCTTTGGTGCTGAATCAGGCTTCCCAAAACTTTATTCCTTTAAAATTGTTCAGAAAACCTTCTGTGCCTTTCGACACCTGCCTATGGAACAGTAGTGGTTTACAGTCATGTTTTTAAAGATTACTTTGGTGACTAAATAAACTGGCAAATATGTGCAATAATGTAAATAGACACTCCTCCCCACACACACACTAAAGCTAATAGAACAAGAAATCTGCACTGGAGGGTTTGATTTTTTTCTTTTAAGTTCAACATCTTAGCAAACACCATAGCCATTTTAAAAAGTAGGAGTTAATATTTTCACTTTATACTGTATCTTTAGTACATTTCTTTCTCTAGAATAGGTCTCTGACTACACTTCTGAACAAGTCCACACTTGCTAAAGTCTGCTGCCAGAGCCTATCAGTCAGAGCTTTTGATGCATTTGGAGGTGCCAGAGACTGGATGGAAACCCTTTAGGGGAGGTAGACACAAAACAGCCTTTTACAAGATGCACCCAAGACTATATTTAAGACTACAAGATAAAGGATAACCCTAATTTGAAGCTCACTCCAAATAACTATACATAATAGCAATAGATAACTGTTTATTTGGAAACTTACAGACAGTAGTCTAGACTTCACAATAGCACTGTGCAGACTTTACTAATCAAAACATTTGTACATTAGAAAGCTCACAAAGACTACAACATTATCCCTTCTGAACCACTGCTCCCCAGTCAGTGCCTGGGCCCTGCAGCCCTCGGTCAGCCCAGGAGCACACCTCTGCGCTCTGAAGGAGTGTAAGCGCTGTGCCCGAGACTCCTGGTGAGCCATCAGCCACAGCCATGCTCTGTCATTCACACTCTTCTTCCATACCATCCACTCCATTTCAGCAACTAATAATAAATTAGTTTCTACAAAAAAAAAGTCATAAGTGTACTTACTAAGCAGCAAAATCAGAAAGACAGGTATCAGCAGACAGAAAGTCATGAAAATGCTACCATTTGGCAATCAACTGCAAGAGGTTCCCTTCAACATAAGCCCCAACAAGTGATTCAAGAAATACAGGAAGATATTTTTGCTGCCTAGATGCCTTGATTTTACTCCTCAGTAACTGCAGGTTTGAGAGACCTTAAGGTTAACTTAGAGATTTTTGCTCTGTTCTTTTTTGATTGGTCATTTCTGCTGGGACTTTCCCCTCTCAGTATTACCAAGCACAGTCACACTTGGAACAGCAGCCGTACAAAAAGGTCCATCTAACCCTGCTGTCTGAGGTGTGTGTTGGCCAATGCAGAGGAAAAATGGAAAGAACAGAGCAAACATACTGCAACATTTCTCTAAAGATTTCTCCCAGCCTCAGTTTGGAGCTGTGGAATACCTGAGCCAGAAGAAATTATGTTTTTGGAAGTAGGAATCGGGTATTATCTGGCTTCTGGATAAGAAGAAAAGCAGGGGGAAGATTAAACAGTGATCAAGCACACCTTGTATTTCAGAGATCAAAGTGTTTTGTAGCTACCAAGCACAATGATTTTTTGTTTGCTTCTACTAATAAGGGCTAAATAAAAGAGAATTAGTATTGTAATGACTAAACAAAAGAAGACTGGTATTGTCTCTGCTGTGCAAAAAGTTCAAGGGAAATAAAGCACAGAACACGCCAAAGAATCAGCAGAAAAAGCCATTTCTCAGAAAGGGAAGGGATAGACAAAGCAAAGATGCAAGTAGAAGACTAACATGACTTTTGTTTACTCCACTGACTTCAAACAAGAACAGCTGAAATCACTGTTTGCTTACAGGTTCCTCTAACACACATGGCAGAAGGAGCTCTGAAGAAAGCACAGACTGGTGTTTTGCCCAAGGTCAAGTGACAGACTCAGATTTTTTTTTTTTTCCTAGCAATGACTTGTGATGAGATTATATAAAGCAACTGACTCCCCAGCACTGCTAAATATAGGAAGTGTGCTGTGCAGCAGAGCAGAAGTAAGGGTGCTTTTATATTTTGATGTATGATTACTGTGCTATTAACGCAACAGAAATTTAAAAAGTTTTAAGAAAATATGTCTTTACTGGATAGGTAAAGATGATGTGCCTATAAGGTAGAAGCAAGGTATTTTAACAGTTTGATCACATTGTCTCCCAGTTTAGCACTACTTTGCTGTTTGTTTGCTCACTTTTCCTTTTCACAAATGCATGTCCACGCTCCAAGTACAGAGATCAGCCAGATTTACCCATGCTAATTGTTTGTTTCCAAAATGTTAATCCTAACAGTTAAATTAGTGACATGATTAGGAAAGCCCCCTTGAGCTACTTCCAAATCCTCATCTAATGTGCACAGAGAGAACCAACACAGAGTTTTGTAGCTAGAAACATGCTGCAAAAGTCTTTAAAAGTTTATTTAACACTGTAGAGAACATCATGCATATAACATTTTCTGAGGAACAGAGGAAGGCAATTGGGTTGTGTGGATAATGACCTGTGTTTGGTTACTCTGGATTTTATATCCACAGAGTATCATTGTGTTGTCTTATGCATTGTATTCATTTTCACACCCTTTGGCAGCAGGTGATAGTATCAACGTAGCTCCTGGTAAAAGGAAGAGAGTTTTGTATTTCACAAGACTACTATTGCAATGTACATGGCAGACATCTCTAAAGGAATGCCAGAAAATAAGGATTTACTCAAGGAGAAATTAAAATTTGGCCAAAGAGCTCAGGACGCAGACCTGGCACTTGCTTACTTGGCAAAGCAAAATGAACACAGAATGGTCTGTACAGGAGGATTTGGACAGGATTTTTACATAGCAGATTAATTCATTGCAACGTAGATCCACACATGTAGCTGTTCTTTACAGACTGAAATACTAAAGCCTTTCTACCTCTAGAAAAGTGTCATTTTGGTACACACGAAGCCTGGTTAAGTGCCTGTCTAGTTTTGCCTTGCTAATTGTGGAGTATCCTTTCAAATAAATGGTCCTGAGTCTTCAAAAATTTAATAATGCTTCCAATACACTTCATAGATTTTGATGAAAAGGATTGTAGCCCACATTATAATTGTTAGTATTGCTGCTTATTTAGTGAAACTTTCAAAGCCACTCTCAACCTAGCCAGCTGTTTTAAGTTACATGAACACCAGGATTCAAATATATTATGTCCCTCGTGGGTCTCAATGTAAGCACAGCATTGGGTTCCCTTACCTATTCTACCTATTGAAGACTTGGCAAATAGGCATTAAAGGCAGGATTGATGATCATATTTGACCATTGCTGATGTACCCATCACACACTTAAAGGCTTCATTTTAAACTGTGAATCATCTGGAGGTAAGAAATAGGAACAGTTACAAGGAAGACTTTCATACACAAGCTATGAAAATTGTAGGCTTCTCAGGGTTGCATATGTGCCATAGAAAATGCAAAAATTGTTCATTAAATAAACAAAATTTGCTTCTGCTGCTGTTGAACTCAACCCACATGCCTCCCACAAAAATGACTCAATTCTTAGTGCAGTTTCCACAACTGACACTCCCAATAGCTTTAGCTAAGAATTTTAATATAACCTCCTTTCCTGGGGTAACCAACTGGTCCTGGCTAACAGGACTAGCCCTGGAATATTTTCCTTTTGGTCACTCAGCCCCCTATGCTTATAATCTGAATGAATCCTCAGCATTTCTAGCCATGGCCTGCAGGACTAGTATTATTTGTTACTGACTTGATCCAGAGTTCAGTGGAAATTTTCCAACCTAAAAATGCCAAACAGCTTCCAATCATGCCCACGTAAACTTACAGTTCACTTATAGATTGTGCATGCTCTAGTCTGGAAGGGTTACATCACATCTTGATTATTTAATGTAGCCTGAATAAATGGAATTTTTTGGGTTATTTTAATTCAAGCTTCTAAGTAATGTATGAATAAAAACGGCAAACAATGCCTCGCATGAAACAAACCAAATACGAGAAAAAAAAAAAAGACCATTTAATTGGAGAAACATCACAAAACGTCTGTTTTAAGACTAATTGTAAGAAGCTGTTCACTGTTGATAATTAAAATCTAGCAAACGGTAATGAGTGGCAGGGGAGGGAAGGCAAAACTGTTACTGAGAGACCTACATAACTCTAAAAAAATCTAAGGGAAACAAAGTCACGGTGTGCAGTACAGCAACATATTTGAGAGACTTCATTCTTCCTGAAAAATAAGTTGCTAATTGCCCTTTATTTTCCAGTATCCCAGTTCAGATGAGGACTCTGCTGTGTGGAGTACTTCACAAGATGTGGATCCTGTTCCAAAGGTCCTGCAGCCTTAGAAAAGTGTAAAGCATCTGCCTCGTCCCTCAATTCAAAGCACCAAACTCAAAGTGATTT